ATAGTTGATAAAGCAACAAAATATAAAACAATCTGAAAACAACTGTCAAATGCAAAGATATGGCAGTGAAAAAATATCATTTATAAACTGATGCATGGTGTTATGATGGGCAAAATCAAAGTATAGTTATGTCTCACCAGTATGGGCCCCAGTAATATGGATACCCTGCTATATAGACAACACTGTCAGGGATGAAATGGAGTAAATACATGCATTTTTGTCTCATTATTGTGGACGACACGCATTACAGACACTTTTTTGGGAAAACGGAATGTCCATATTAATGAGACATCACTGTAGCATGACATCTCAGAAAACTATGGAGAGCATTTGCAATTTAATGGTGGCATTAGAGATGGCAGATTATAGACTTTTTTGCATTTAAAAAATACTTATCCTATCAAAACAAAAAAGGTATTGTAAGAAAAGTGTTATTTTATTCTTCGCATAAAATATTCAAGCACCTCCAGCACTGCTTATAACAGGAGTTAAGTTGAATAACCACCTATAGCCCCATTAACCCACAGCAAAATTTTGCAATTTAATGGCGCCCATAAACACATACCCCGGGCGAGCAGTTGAACACACTCTTACTAGAGGCTCTCTATCAGAGAGAGCCAACAAGTGTTGCCATCTATCAGGCACAGGAACAACATCTTCTGTCCTCATTTGAGGACACCATGTGGCAAGGTAAAGAAACTGGAGAGAAAAGAAAAGCATTTGTCCTCATATGTAAATGTGATGCTTGAGGGGGTTAAGAACTTAATTACTCAAATGTAAATAAGAACCTAATTATACTGAATATTATTAATCTTCCTAAATAGGCCCTTTCACAAAAACCAATAGGACATCAACCTTTTTTCTGAGCAATGCATACCTTTTGCAGAAGCCATTTGGCCCGCACTTGAGATATATCCTGTATTCCTGAATTCGGAAAGCATGTTTCACCATGTGCAGGCACATGAAGTATTAAAGGTTTTAACTCCCCTGTTTCCATCAAAAATATTTCTTACATTCTCCTAGCAAAGACTCCTAGTGGTGCCCAGATGACAAGTGTAAACGAAAAGACCCTTTGTTAATCAAAGAGTGCAATTCTCTAATAATATTAGGCAAAAACATTCAACAGCAGTACAAGTTAAAGTGAGCATATAGACAGGAAACCACCTTTCAGGGACAACTGTGGACCAAAGTCAATAGCAAAGAATACAGTTTCTATAGATATGTTTCTAAAACATCATTATTGGGTGCCATGTCAATACACTGCGTTCACTTCTTTACAAATTGGTGGTATAGCGCGCAAAAACAAGGACAGATTTAGGCAGTAGACATGACGAGCGCTGAACTATTGAAACTGTGTCCAACGAGGAAAACAACCACGCTATAATCGCATCAACACATGCTTTAAAAGGCAAACTTTTTTGTGCAACTAAACTGAAGATTGGCTTATGCATTTAGTCTTTCCCTCCCTTCTCATCTCGTACACTTCCAAAAGTTCTCTGGCAGTCTTATCAGCCCCCCCCCCCCCCCAAAAAATTTTGATGCCAAATTTTGGCTGACACTTGCATGTGTCACAATGCAAAGAAGGTGGCTTCCTGAGGTTAAATGAAGCGACAAAGCATGCTCACGCGCTGTCATTTACACACAGGCCAGTTTGGCCGATGAACTCTTCCACAGCTCCTGGATAATCTATATACCACTTTAACAGCACACTCCACACAGAACCCTACCCAGGAGGGGGAGGTGGAGGCAGGGGTTCTGATTCCGTTCCCCAAAATTTTCCCTCTGAAGAGGAAGTGAGAAAGGGTCTGTTTCATTCTTTTGGCAGAGATTTGGCTCTTGATCAGTTGAACATCGTCACAAACCTACGTCTATATCTCCCACATAATCCAAGTTTTAGAAATAACTAAAAAAAGGGAAGAGGGCAAGGAGACCTCTCTGTGCCAAAGAGAAAGAGAGAGAGAGAGAGAGTGTGTGTGTGTGTGTGTGTGTGTGCACGCGCATGTGTGTGCGTGCGCGCGTATGTGTGCATGTGTGCACGTGCATGTGTGTTGTGTGTGTGTGTGTGGGGGGGGGGGGGGGGGATAGTCCACGGTGGACACAAAATCCGCAGTCCAAGAGCTAAACTGAGGTCTCGTAGCTCCGTGGAAGGAACAAAGATGGCCGCTATGTGCCCAGAACGTGTCTGTGTGGACGTGCCCCAACATGCATATGTTCGACGGGTTAGAGCGTTCATCGTGGACATGAACTGTCAAGCCCCAACTTGAAAAAGTCATTTTATTTTTCATTCTTTTTTTCCTGTGCGTGAGATTTTTTTTTTTTTTTTTTAACTCCATCAGTTCACACTACGGTCTGCGATCGGGTGCATCAGTTTCGGTAAACAAGGCACCGACCGGGTTAGTGTCGCGGCAGACGATGACTCTGGCTGGCTGCTACGAGCAACACCGGGCTGGGACTGTGACACACAAGAGAGCCAGCCAGACTAGTGGCACACACCATGTCTTCGATCGACAGAATGCTCAGGCTGCTGGGTTACAAGCTCAACCGCAAACTGGGAGACTTCAAGGCCTATTTAAGCGAAGACCGCTGCCCAGCCAACACTGGCGTCAACCCCTGGAGCCCCACTACTGGGGGGTGGTGGACTCCTTGCCTGGCCGAAAATTCGGCTGGCTCTTCCGCAAGCCGGGCACGCAGGGAGCCCTTGCCAAGTGCTCGAGAACGGCCTGCTAGAAGTCAGCAGCCCAATGCGGCCCCGCGAAGACCACCACCGCGAAGAACGCTGTTGGGCATAACATCAACCCCTCACCTTCGTCCACGAGCTCCATTTAAACCATTGTTACAATTTTTTTTTTCTTATTTATTTGTACAATAGCATTTCATCATTGTTGGACGCGGCGCGCGAGCTTTCCCAGTATGGGCGACTTGACTTTCTGTGGCGCCGTGGCTCATCTGAGCCGAAATAAATATCATAGCACATATCATAACAAAGATGGCCGTTGCATGCCCGCAACCCCCGCCCGCCGGCCCCCCCCTTCCTGACAACATTTTCGGGGTGTGGCCCTGACTCCACATACTTATTTTGGTACTTTACAGCACATTTGTTCCTGCCTCCCCTTATGTTGCCAATTCTGGGACATACCTGCGCTAACTTACTAGACACCGTAAAAACAATTGCAACCTCGAATCGCCCGGCAATCCTTTTGGTTTGTGGAATACCCTATGTAAATAAGGAATCATTTGAGGCCTCTTGTTTTCCCTGTCTTTCTGTTGAATGCCACAAGCACTGACGTAGGGAACTCAGTAGCCTCAAACCGTTCTACCTGCAAGCCAAAGCTTTCCGTCATGGTATGACTGCTGGACCTTTCCAGGGCCGCTCGCAAACACGAGGATGCATTGCCCCTCTCCACGAGTTTTGAGTGCACAGAATCAAAAGGCAAGAGTTAGTTTCATTGTACGGGTGTGGTACAATCAGCACACAAAACACCCAGTGAACTTCAGTTTTAAGCCAAGAAACTGCAGGAACAGACCATTCTGAAACTCATGTGTAAACCAAACAACTGCCCTAACCCAAATGTTGAGTAAACACATCCAGCACTGCGTTGACAATGCTACCTCTGGAAGCCCCCTCGGACCTTTGCGTTATCACAAATCCACATATCCACACACCTTACTGACACTCATCTCCAACTACGAGATAAGAAGGGAGGCGGAGGATAAATGGATAAGTTAATCTTTGGTTTATTTACACAAAAAAAAGTTTGCCTTTTTCAGCTCACATCGAGGCGATTATGGTCTGGTTGTTTTCTTCTTTGGACATAGTTTCAATGTTCAGTTGAAGTTCAGCACTCGTCTTGTGTACTACCTATCTTTGTTTTATGTTTCTGCGTGTTGTACCACCAATTTGTAACAATGAACCAACTCACCTGCATCATCACTTTGATTCATTTGTTTGGTGGAGAACTTCAAATGCCTTGTGGGTAAAACAGTGGCAACATTTTTAAGTCACTTTCATTGCTTGCCTTTGAAACGGAGCAGGCCAATTTTATAGAAACCAGCTGGACAGTACTTTCCAGGTTACAATATTGACTATCGTCATTTTATCATATGTGGCCGGTACCTCCGTTTTTTGTGTTTTTTTTTTCGCCTTTATATTTTCATAGAGCAACAAGCCTCCAATACCATTTTACAAAGGTGCAAGACATCTTTACGGGTAAAACAGCGTATGTACATCTTCTGTGTCCTTGTTCGCGCTGTTTTCCCCGTAAACATGCTGCACCAACTAGCCCAAATTTCAACAGTGCAAGACATCATAAATTAGGAATGCTGTTCAGCTAAATTCAATCGAAATAAATGGTTATCGACGATTCCAAAGTATCTACTGACTTCTGCTGATCTTTTTTTTTTTTCCGCAGTTATTTATTTTATTTTTTTTTTTTTTGCAGCCTGTGGTAACAGTGTTCCCCCAGCTAGCATAGAAAGATGGAGGTCAGCTTTCCTTCCATGCCTTGCCGAAGGAAAACAGCAAAAACAAAAAACAAAAAAACAAAAAAAGAAAAGCTAGCGACGCGACGTCAACGCTACCGCGACGAAAACAAAAGAAAATGCGGCGTCTCAAGATCGAAGACGATCAAATCGTGCCCGTCGTCAGACACAGAGATCAGGCGTTATTTTTGTTTAAGTCAGCCTGAAGCGTCAGTGAAAGGCCCGGCTGACAGTTAAATTCGCAGAAATTGATCGGTAATCGCGGCGTTGTCGGTCGCTACAGTCAAGCAAAATGTGTCATGCGCCAGTGCGCGTCGAGGGACAACCCAAGCTACAACAATACCAGCGTGGACGACGAACCCACAAGAGCGGCGAGTGAGGGAGGGAGTCGATCGCCGCATATGGGTCAGCCTGGAAGGGCCTCGGCCCCACACCGGGAGGCCCGCCAGCTGCGAGCCAGCCCACGACCGCCGGGGCTTCCGACTCGAAAGCAAACGTTGTTTACACGCCAGGGAACCTACCTGACCGGAGTGTTGCGGCGTCGACGCGCTGGCGTCGGCGCTCCCGGCGGTCTGCTATGCAGCCCTCGCTGAGTTCGGCCCGCGCTGGGTTAGGACCGCGACACTCGGGCCCACAACACCGCCCCGCAACGAGGGACGCGCCATGGACGACCACAGTGCGACGACGACTTTCTCGACAAAACGCTAGCGGCGCTCGACTTCCCTCCCCGAAGTAGTCAGGACGTCAGGAGTTGCTCGAAGGGGGGAGAGGGAGAACGCGCCGGGAGAGTCCAACGAAACGGACGAGGGGAGTGCGCCGGCTGGTCGAGGGCTTTTCTTGACTCCGGCAACTCCGGGGGCAAAGCCAAAGCTGCCAAAGCTGGCAAAGCGGCGGCGCGGCGCTTTGTACGGTCCGCCGGCTACACTCGCTACACTGGCTACACTACCGTGGAGAGCCCCTGTGTGGAGCCAGGCGCCAGGCCTTCCCTGCGGCGCCTCTGACCCCGTTTCGACGTCATCGCAGCATCACTTCCTGGGGCGGCTTAAATGCCTCTAACGGACGTCTGGAGTGTTCCAGTCTGATTCTTTGCCGAGTGGTTAGCCCCAAGGCGGCCAAGAGCTCGCATAGGGGATGGGTTGCGCGGATAGCGTACCGCTCCCGCATTGTTCGCGGAACCTACGTGCAGGCCGACGGCACGACGACACGCTACCGGAGCCGTGCGGCCGCGCCGCCGCGCAGATTGCTGCGTTGGTGATTTGCTAATTCAGTGAGTATTCACATGACGTCACACACATGACGTCACAGTGAGTATTCACATGACGTGCGATGCTACTGTAGCCGCCATCGCTGTGTCGGCCGTGTGCTAAGTGTACACGGCGCACCAGCTCGGAGCACGTGGAGCGATAGCTCGCGCTGCAGAACCCAGGGATTCTGGGTTCAATCCCCACCTATGCCCGTTTCGATCTGGATGAGCATCGTACCGGCTTGCGGTCGTGTATCACAGGCGCGTAGATAGCGAAATATATAGAAGAAGAAGAAAATAAATGGTGCTATGGAGAATATATATATATGTATGTATTGTGATTGCACCAGCACCTTAATACACCCCCCGAAAATATTTTCTGGCTACTCCACTGGTGTACCACTACTGCGTGGTGCACGTTAAAGACCCCCAGGCTAGCGGTTGTACTGGACTGGCTAAATATGCTCATCTACAGCGAGTGACTCGTCGCAACTTTGAAATGGCTGACCAGCTACGCGCTGTATAAATATCCACACAACCCCAATTAAGCGTACACACGCGCGGAAGTGGGGTGGCGCACTTCTACCTGCCGACTCCGTTCTTTGCGTGTAGTGTAGAAATATCGCTCGTGGGTGCACATCCCCATTCGATTTTCACGGGCTACGGCAGCCTCAAAGCCGCGCGAGCAAGCTGCAACAAAAACCGGCGATCGGGTTATCGAGTTCGACGCGTGCTCGATCTTCGTCGAGATTGTTTTCTGTTTGCTCCGCGTGTTTCCGACGAACTACAACAATTTTAAATAAAAGAGAGGAAATTTACTCCGGGGATCGTAACCTCGAAGTGTTACCCTAATTTGTTGGGAACATAACGAATCGCAATGCATGATACCATTGAAGGCTGTAGGAATGTTAGTTTTAAATGTTTGCCTCTGACGTGCCTGTTTACCCCTTTATGCAAGCACTCATCACAAAGTGGAACACAATTATGTCGACTTTAGTTCCCATGCTCTTCCACTAAGCAAGTCTAACATTTTGCTAATGACTCCAACAGCCAACAATTAATGAGCTGCAGACAGCAATTGCCTTGGCAGAGGGGATCCCAGTGAGCCCCGAGCAAGGCGACAGCCAGAGTTCATTTGCAGCAGGCATACTGGAGAACTCTGAATCGCAGACCCCATCATAGGTGAAGAGAAATTAACTCCGAGTGTAGGAATTACGTCAGCGTGATTCGAGCTCACAACAGAGTTGTTTTTTAATGTTTCAGATCTTCATGCTGAACTCAACAGCTCGAAGAAATGTGGAGTTCAAAACACTCTGCAACAAGTCCTTGGAATTGCAAGAGCAGGATACGAAAAGGCCCTCATAACACTCACCTGAGTACCCTGCCAGTGGCGTAGCCAGGGGGGGAGGGGGGGTTATAAATCATGATTTAATTTTACCATGCATAGCAGTGGCGTTAGGGCGGACGAGTCAAGAGGTTGTGTGCGTAAAGAACCCACAAACCTTGGTGCCGTGCCTTGTGCCTCCAGTTGATCTTTGAGCTGCTGCAGTGGTCCACACATCGAATATCAGGTCAGAACACCTGACGGCGCCGTCGGAAGCGTTACAACCGTTACAATGGGTGGGGGTGACGATGGGGCTGTTGGGATCCCAGTGACGGCCCATGTTTTTCAAGTGATCTCATTGGCAGTTTGTTGATTTGCACACTTGACAACATTTTATAATAAACTTCATAAATTCGTGACTTAAGCAATAAAAAGAAATTAAAAATGAGTTTAAATATTAACGATATTACCAGTGGTCATAAATAAACTAATAGCGTATCGCTTTCACAAAAGCGCAAGGAAACATGAGAAAAAACAGCCGTCAGTATTGTGCGTCCTTACGCTGACTGTTGGACTCCAGATTAGGTCCAGTATCTTTCTACACATTCAATCGAAGCCGCGTTTCCATGTTTCCTCGGGGCGCTCTTTCTGCACTCAAGCGTAGGGTTCTTGTTTCTACCGCCTCAAAACATGGCGTTACAATCGCCGCCTCTACTGCTGCCGGTCCGCCCCTATTTGCCCCTAGATGGCGCAAGTTGTACTGTAGCGTCCCAAGCTGCCGGTTCACCGCCGCTCGCTTCGCCGCCCCCCCACCCCCCCGGTTTGCTTGTCTGATTTTATTTCCCTTGGATTTCCTTCTCGTCTTCTGGGGCTTTTATTTTTATATCGTTTTTTTATAAAACACTGTACAGCAACCTCAAAAAAGTAGCTCCTCAAGTGGGTAGGAGGCAACATTTACTTTTCATACATACTTTATTATTTACACAGATCTCGTACCCAGAAATTTATACAATGTAGAAGACAAAAACAATAAGGCAGACAGTACAGCACATCGCGCAGAAACACTGTGTATAAATCATACCAACAAGCTATTTTTTTATGAGATTCTCTTTAAACATTTTACAACCATAACGCTGCGATACTCATAACTTCATACTCGTGTTAGAAAAGAAAAACTTCAAACCTTTTTTTATGTAGATTCTAGTTGTATGTCGCAATTATTACAGAAATTGAGCAATTCTGGGAGTTTGCGTTGCATCATTTGCTCCCCGTAACTCGTTTTACACGCATAAATGTTTCATATGTCAATGCTACGTGTGGGATATGTGATTGTTCTTTTACATAAACAAGCTAACTGAGTAAGAAAATTCATGTTGTTTTTTGCTTCCTGTTTATAGGTTACACACAAACGAAATGCATACATGTTATGAATGTTCATTATGCCATGTTTCTGAATCAGCGGTGCAGAAGGGTGATCATACGGAACGTTATCGATATTTCTTAGCATTTTCGTCTGCAGTAAATAAACCTTCTGCAAATTTTGGAGGGTCGTGTTTCCCCATACTAGGTGACAGTAATTTATATGCGAATAAACTAATGTGTTATGTACGAGAAGTTTAACTCTAGTAGGTAAAATTTGGCGATGAATACAAGTTAAACCTATGATACTCGATAATTTTGATACGACGTAATTTGTATGTTCTTCCCCAAGTCATGCGTTCCGTGAAGACTACGCCAAGGGTTTTGAAGGTGCTGACTAATTCTATTTTTGAATCAAACAAATTAATATCTTCATAAACGCGTACATTTTTGTTTTTTGGGCGAAATAGGACAGCTTTAGTTTTACTTGTATTTATTTTTAGCGCGTTACTCAGAGTCCATCTTTCCAATTTTACAAGGGTAGCATTTGCTCGGGAAATTAGTTCAGAGGGACATTTTTCGGAGAACAACAATGTAGTATCATCTGCAAAAATAACAAATTTAGTTACGGAGAGAGTAACAAATTATTTACTCTCTCCGTGCCCGCTGGCTTGCCCGAACCCCAAGAGACACGTGGAAGTTGCAAAAAAGATAGGCACTTAAATTTGATTGCAAAGCCAATTTAAGGGATACTGACAGGGTATTTATGCTCGCCAAGGTTTTTATTTGTACATGACATATGAGAGCCAAACTACCCAAAAACACAATTTGCGGCTCGAAATTAATTTTATTTCTGCACGAAAGCCGCCGATCGAGAACTGGCCGGTTTGAGTCGCGCCCCCTCTCTTCTCCGTGGTCACGTGCTGTTCTCTATGGCTAAAGCGCGAAACACATGTACGACGAAGCCGTCCGATCCGACGTCCGACCGCGCAATACGACGGTCGGAGGCGAGGGTTTTCAACGCTCTCCGATGCTACGAACACCCTCTCCCCCCAAGGTCGTTCCGGCAGTCCGCACGTCGGATCGGACGGTTTCGTCGTACATGTGTTTCCCGCTTTAGACGCACCCACCAAATATAATCGAAGTCGTAGGTCATCGAAAACACACACTCAATATTAAAAATAGAAAAAAATATTGAATACTATTTTTTGAGGGTTCTAAAAAGCTGCAAATACGTTGATTGAGAGAAGAAAAAAGTTGCACAGAGAACCGGAAGCACTCCTTGCATTCTCTGCGCAATTCTCAACATGGCATCGTATGGCGGGAGTCACGGGCTGGACAGCTGAACGAAGCGGACATAAGCGATTGCGGCGGGCAACGGGCGTGGGACCTCTCCTTGAGAACTGTTGTGTACGGTACCGGCGAATCGGTCTAGCTTCGAAAGAAAAATCGTTTACCGATCAAAACAATTAGAATTTATTCCGTACGACACGGCTTTTTTTACCAAGCTGAATCGTACGAAAACGTCGCCGAGTAGTCTCCCTTTCACCTGGCTGAAGACATCACTCGTCATACGAACACCTATCATGTTGAGAGCTTGAAAAACACGCAAGCGTCAAGCAGGAAGTGCTTGACGTTTGCGCGTTTCCTCCCCCCCTTTCCCTTTTAGCAGAGCAAACGCTGGAGAGGAGGTCGCCTACTCGCCAGCATTCGCTCTGCTAAACTGGAAGGGGTTGGAAAAGTTTCCCTTGAATTCTTAACCTGGCACCGACTACAGGGTGTAGCACGGGGGAAAGGGGGAGGGGGGGGGGGGGGGGGGGGGGTCGCTGAGCCCGTGAGTAGCCGAGGAGGAACCTCTGAGTTAGCATTGGACTAAGAGCACCGACCGACTTTGTGATCGCGCTCAGTTGAGTGTAGAAAGCGAAGAAACTGGGCAAACCGACTGTGATGACTTTTTAGGCCAATTCGATTCAGCAAAATCAAGGATAGTTTTGTCGTGGTTTTATGCAACGCCATGATGCATGCATTTGTTTTATATATGTTCCCTGAATAGTCAAAGGTGGCAAATACAATGTCGGAAACCTAAAGACTACTTTTCTGCTGTCACTATATGTCAGTAACTTTATGTCAGCGTCTTCG